GTTCCAGAATTTGCACCCATACTTTTTGCAACTTTTATCGAAGATGCGCTACCACCCCAATAGTAAACGAGACGTAGGCCAAATTAACACTCCATTGAAAGCGTTTGTTAGACCAGGTAGTATTCTCGGAGAGAATATTCAGAACGGAAGCTCCAATGATAGTCATTTTAATAGTAAAAAGTCAAGAGTCATTAGAATAGTTACATATTTATGGGTATAGATATATAATGTTGCCAGTTGCTGAGATAAGAAGTTGCTTCCTGTTTTGGTTTGGGCTGATAACAGTTTGGTAGGCTAAAAATGTTGCAATATGATTTCAATGCAAGTAGGTTTGGTTCATCTAACGCATATCACACTCGCGCTCTTGTTCAGATATTACACAACTAGTCTTATGAACTAAAAGTGATAATCAGAAAGATATTCGACACAAACAAAAGATGCTATACTACATTCTTGAATATTCGAAAAAGAAATACTACTATTCATTAAAATCTAAACTCATATATAATCATTCAAAGAAACAATTGCAAATTGTTCACAAAGACGAAAAAGAATTCGAAATTGTTTACTTGGAGGAGTCAACGACATATCTACCCAAAATCTTACCTTCTTCCATTAATTTATAGACTTCTGGTAATTCAGACAAACCGACAATTTGGATTGGACACTTGATTAAACCACGAGTGTACATGTCAATAGCGCGTTGGGTGTCAGCTCTGTTACCGACATAAGAACCCTTAATACTTAAACTCTTAACAACAGAGTCAAAGACTGGGGTAACAACCTTGGCACCAGCTGGTAAACCAACCAAGACAACACTACCGGTAGAACGGGTGTATTCACAAGATTGAGCAATAGCCTTTTCAGAAACAGAAACGTTAATAGCAGCATGTGGACCACCATCGGTAGCCTTTTGGACAGCAGCAACAAGATCCTTTTCCTTGGTGAAATCAATATAAGCTTCAGCACCTAAAGATTTACAGAATTCACCCTTTTCTTCACCACCATCAATAGCAGCAACTCTGAAACCCATAGCTCTGGCGTATTGGATGGCTAAAGAACCTAAACCACCACCAGCACCGGAGATACAGATCCAGTCACCGGCTTTACGGTCGGCAGTCTTTAAGGCCTTGTAGACGGTAACACCGGCACACAAGATTGGAGCAACATGAGCTAAATCGGTACCAGCTGGGATTCTAGCAGCTTGAACGGCATCGGCAGTAGCATATTGTTGGAAAGAACCATCATGGGTATAACCAGATAAATCAGCTTCTGGACAGTTTGGTTCATCAGTTTGTTGACAGAATTCACAAGACATACAAGAACCATTTAACCATTTAATACCAGCGTAATCACCAATCTTCCAACCCTTGACGTTTTCACCCATGGCAACGACAACACCAGCACCTTCGTGACCACCAACTAATGGTAACTTGGTTGGTAATGGCCAATCACCCTTCCAGGCGTGTAAATCAGTGTGACAAACACCGGAGTACTTGATGTTAATTAAGATTTCGTTAGCCTTTGGAACTGGGACTGGGATGTCTCTGTATTCTAATGGACCACCGTTGGTTTCAAAAACAACAGCTTTTTGAGTTTTTGGAATGGACATTATTGTTTAATTGTATAATTGAATCTATAGTGTTTATAATAAAAGCACTGATGATGAAGGAGAAGAAGAAAGGAAAAGGAAAAGAAATTATGAAAAATCTAAAAATCAAGGAATAGGGGAGAAACCCATGGCTTTATATAGTGAATTTTCGAGGAATTGATTAAGTGGAGACAACAATTGAGTAGTCAGACAATGATGTTACAGATTTATGTTTTAATTCATAAATAATAATTATAAAATAATTGTTGGAAGACGTGAAATTTCCAAGGGATGAAAAAAGTGGGATAATTAAATTCGGAGTACGAAATTGCGATGATTGGAAATTTAAGAAATTTATTTTTTTGTGTTTAATTTTTTTTCTTCTCTCTTTCCACTAAATTCGGATAAATGTCATTAAGAAAACAATTCGATCGAATTATGAAATTTAATGACACAAAGTTAATCCATCAGCGACGCATCTCCTTATTACACGTTTTCTCTCAAATACCCAATGGATTACGTAGCACCGGCAGATCAATTGCATGATTTATCCATTAGGCTACAAAGTATAATCTAAAAGTTAATGTACCACCAAAGCCCACATATAACCAGCAATCGTTAAGAAAAACGTTTGGACTTTTTCTACTGGCTGTTTCTATTTTTCCCCACGGGTGGCCAAAAAAAACCCCCTAAGAACATATGGATTAAATGTACATACCCTACTAAACTTATTCCTAAATGTAAAGGATATAGGTCAATTGTCCTCGTAAATTATCAAAATAGTATTATTATTTGAATCACATCGTCATCTGGTGGTGAGAAATGATATGAACCGTGCCTCCCACTCACTCACCACCACCACCACCCTACCAAAAAAAAAAAATGCAAAAAAACTCGCACTGGTGATTTTTTAAATCAGATGTTTTTTTTTTCTACGTCTTACCATAACTTTCATTGTTAAACATACACTTATTATTGTCTTCTTTGTTTTAGATGCATTTTCTTGAAATTTTGTAGATACTCTATAATTGTTAAATTCAATTGAGCAAATTCGGATTTGGAACCTTGCCAATTTTTATGTTACAGAAGCAAGTTCATGCACAATGGAGGGAATTCTTTTCACCCCCTTACCGCAAGTAATACCAAACACTTTTTGAAAGGAAAATCTTTTCTATATTCGTTATATTTCATGGCAAAGCTTTTTCAGGTATGTTTCACTGTATCAAGTGACTTATCGGACATCTAACAACCGGCTACAACAAGAAAATTTTTGGTTTCTCTCTTAAAAAAGCCAGCTACCTCAAATTCGCTTAGAATATTGGCAAAAGGAGGGGGGTCGGCCTAAAACGGTAACACCCGTCACCTGATGAAAAGTGGCTAAAAAAAAATATTTTTTATTTCATCCAAAACAGTTGCAACTGTAAACAAAAACTAACCATGGGCCCGGTGGTCCCTACAATAAACTATAATATCTCCAGATCGTCTACTATCCCAATGGAAGTAGCTGTTAAAGAATCTTTGACATTGATAATACTCATCTCCTAAATTTTCATCTATTAATTGCTCAAGTGGTTGAAATATTATCAAATACTCAGGATATGGTAAATCATTACCTAAATGTAATTGCAAAAATTCTAAAGGTGAATCATAAAATTGATCCGATTCATCTCGATAACTACTAATCTCTTCCGATGATGGTTTATCCAAATGCAAAGGTGGTTCACAGGTTAAAAACCATGCGTCTAATTTTGCATCATGGAATTGACTTTGCCATGGTGTTGAATGACAAGGTGTAATGAATCCAATTGATTTTTCAGTTGGGGATTGTTGTAGTTGTTTCTGTAAGTATTGGATCACATCAATTACTCCACGTTCATTAACCAATGTGAAAAATAAACCTATACAAATATTGAGTACTATTGCAATTGCTATTATTGAACGTCTTGGCTTTAATTTCCGGTATCCAATGGCAGAAAAATACAACATGATTGGTTGAAGTGGATATATAAATCGAAATTCTTTATGCTCAATTAATGAAAATCCAACCACGTAGATAAAGCTAGTAACTGTCAACACATTGAGTCTGATTCCAAATACCATAAGCGGTAGGTACAACATCATCATTAATGGTATAGCTTGACCAATGTAAAAATGCCATGGAGCAGAACCGTAAAAGATTGACAAGTTCTTAAACACGTTGAATTCAAGGAAGTTGTACAATGGGAATGTCAACTTTTGATAAAAGTAATAGTCTAGATATGTGTTGATACATAATATTAACACAACTTCACTTATCGATACCAATACCCATTTGAAAGTAATACGATCAGCTTTCAAAAGTAACCATATACCCAATGGTAACCAAATTAAAATATTCGTAGGACGAATAATACAACTAGTCAACCCAACTCCCAAACTGATAAACCAACGACTACTTGTTTTGAGTTTGTAATCCCAGGGCCAAAATCTAAGAGCAATAACAGTGAGCATTGTTTCTAAATTATTGGAGAATGATCTTGTAATCACATACCAATTGAAAGGATTCAATAAAGATAGTATCAATGTCGTCAATCCATAGTCTGAATCATAAACCTCAACAAACTTATATAGATTGTATTCTATTGATGTTGCAATTATTGCATTGATAATTTTTGGTATTGAATGAATCAAGAAACCATTCTCTCCTGCTAGTTTATAGCCCAATGCGTAGATTAATGGATGGATTGAAGAACGGAGCTGTTGTTTCCATTCCCATGTCATATATCCGTAGCCATATATGAAATTATGAGCTGGTTCTAGTGCTTGATAATATTCATCTGCTTGAAAATATGTTTGAATTGTAAATGAATTTATAAGACGGATTATAAATATAAATACAATTAATTTGTATGAACTAAACTTCTTCGTCTTCCTCTGAATCACGTTATCTGCTTTGGTACTGTCGTCATTCTCTTCCTTCTTTGTTAATTTTCTATTCCTTAACATTCTTGACGATGTTGAACTGGGAACCCAATTCGTTGTGATAAAAAAAAAATTTTGATTTTAAATTCTTTTCTCTTTTTCCAATAATACGAGAATCAAAAGCCATTAAATGTCAATTGACGATTTTCTATATCATTTAGAATTAAGTCATTTCTATCAAGCAATAGATGATCAAACAAAAGCAAAAAGAGAATGTCTCGACGGAATCAAATGTTTAAATAGTTTTTCAAAAGGGGTAACCTCCAAGGTATCACCAAGACCACCACCTGGTACCACCAAAACTCCGACCCACACTACCACACAAATTCCACCAGAACGTCTAAAATTGCTATCTCAATATGCATTGAATCATTACAACAATCTATCTAAACCCCTTTCAATAACAGAAAAGCTTGATTGGATGTGTTCTCGATTTTCAAAGGCTGAAATCTTCCCACCAGTAATTGAATTTTCCCCTGACTGGACATCGCACCATACAAATTTCATGGATCTAGATCTTCCCACTCCGTATCAAGACCAAAATAAGTCAATTGGGAAACTTCCATATGAAGCAGAGTTTAGACCGGTCGATATAGATGATTGGAGCAATCAATATGAGGACTTGACCTCATTATATCAAGATATGTTGTCAAATTGTTCATTCGTTTCTTCAATATTAGCAATTGTTGATTCATCCTCTCAATTTCTGCTTATAAACATGATAAGTCCACATACATCCAATTCAAAATATAAAGTGATACTTCATTTTAATGGACTACCGAGAATCGTGACTATTGATAATCGATTACCATTTCTTATTGGAAGCAATGAAGATCGAAATGTATTTATTAAATCATTTACTGATCCTCAATTATATTGGCCAGCATTGATTGAGAAGGCATATTTGAAAGTAATGGGTGATGGATATGTTTTTAACGGATCCAATATGGCGAATGATACATATATGTTAACCGGCTGGATTCCGGAAATAATAAAATTACAAAATGGGAAATTACCGAATGAATTCAGATGGCTTTGGAAGTATAAACAGGACGGAGAGATTATATTAGGGATAGGAACGGGGAAGATTAGTAAGAAATTAAGTACGCATTTAAAGCTAATTTCTGAACATGATTATGTTATTGATAGATATAATATGGCTGGTAATAATTTAACATTAAAGAATCCTTGGATTAGCAATTCCTTAATAGATCGATTTATTTCCATTAATGATTTGACTTGCTTTAGATATCTTTATGTTAATTGGAAACCATCCAATTTGTTCAAATATTCATATAGACAAAGTTTTATTTATCGTGTGAAAGACGATTGTATATTTACTCATCCACAATTCACCTTAAAGAATAACACTATAAAAGAACAAGAAGTCTGGTTACTTCTTGAAAGACATTTAGAATCTTCAGAGCAACAGCCTCAAGGATGGATAAATGTCGGCATATTTGAGACGTCATCAAAAGTATTGACACCAACCCAATTTAGAAATATAAATTTATCCGAAGAAACAAACAACAGATTACATCTAATTAAAGTGAAAACGCAGCCGCGTGGTAGTTATACTGCTGTTGTATCTTCCAATAAGAATTGTAATTTCACATTGACAATGTTTAATAACATTTCATCGGATTTCACCTTTTCGAAACTGAAATATTTATACAACTACACATTACCAGCAATTGAAGGTGAATGGGCCGAGGGATCTAACGGAGGAAATTGGTCAATGTCAACGTATATCAATAACCCACAATATGATTTGATAGTAAAAGAACCTAGTAAATTAATTGCAGTTTTATATGGTGAACAAGAGATGCAAGTTAATTTTCATTTATTTCATAGTGAAAAGTCAAGAATAGGAAAGAAGATTCATAGTTTTGATAAATCGAAATTACTCAATAATGAAAATTACAATTCCAGATTTCAATTGAATAATTATAATTTAATGCCTGGTTGTTATAAGTTAGTTGTATCGGGGTATGATAGATCAAAGGGTAAATTTGTATTACTTTTGAATTCTTCATCACAACTTACAATCGAGAAAATACCTCAAAATATCGGATTATTTATCAGAAAGAAGGAATTCAATTGGGAAAATACAAATCGTTATAAACTCTACTTTGAACTCACAACCTATAGAACCCGACTACTGTTTCATATCAATCATTTCAACAATAGCGACAAAGATTACGAAATTCTAACAAATTATAGACCAGCAATTAGAGCATCAATATTTGATGCAAATACATCAATGCCAATACAAATTAATGAAAAATTTGATGATTCATTGTACGGAGTATTTATAGAAGCTGAAATTGAAAGAGTTGGCACTTATATTCTCTTGATTGAAAGATTTGAAATTGGTCTTGGGAGATGTGTTATTGAAGTGGGAAGCAATTATAGAATAGAATTAAAGTAGACTTGTATGTATAATCTATGGAAAATATAAAACGAGAATGCCTGGGTCCAGCTTCGCTAATAATGTAAATATGTATGTTTGGACATTATAGAAGATTGCGAGGTGGATATAATTGTCATAGAGTTGGATATGCAGGTTTTCATTAAAGTCATATTCACTACAATAATGTATATAGAAGCAAAAATCATAATTCGAATTACTATAATCAATAACATACCTGTAAATATCAGCTTTCAATT